TTACTATTTAAAAAAAATATTTTATACTTTATTATTTTTATAACAACAAAATGAATCTTCATTGCTCAATTTCAAGTTTAACTATATAAAAAAGAAAATAATGTTTGTTATTTATTTAAATAAGATTTAAGTATCTGTGTATTTTCTAGGAACTTTTTGATGTGATTTGTCGAACTTCTTCCGCTTTCGAACAAACGACAACAATCCACACATGTAAATATATACATATTAAAGTTACATTTAAAAACAACAACTTGTGCACATACTCGTATATACCCACCCTTCTACAAACATAATCCCCTGCCCCATTTCCATTGTTGTTTCCACGCAGTTTGCCATTGTTATTTGTTACACTTCCAGTTTACATCAAAACTGCTGTCTAGGCCTGCCATTTTCTCACTTTCTCCTTCCACTTTCAGTGTGTCTCTGGATGTCCCGGCCACGCCCCCTTGAGCCGGGGGCCGCCCACTCATCATTACATTTCATTAAGCCGAGGCCAAAAAAGGGGGCCGCCGCCACAGTCAAGATTCGCTTTCGGGCCTAAGTTTCTGTTTCTGCCGCTGTTGCTTTTGTGTTTATTAAACGCTTTTCGGGGCGCGTGTTCATTCAATTTGTTTCTGCTTCAGCCAGAGTTTTGTGCTCCTTGTTCCTGTTCCTGGACCGAAATGTTATGTCTACATGCCTGCGTCTAAATAAACAGCACCAACAAAGCTGCTGTGCGTGTGTATGTGCGCAGGCAAAATCGTTTTAATTGTTGTGTTTAAATAACAGACGAGCCTGGAGTTCGAAAGAGAAATCGGGGAGAGCAGCACACAGAGCGTGTGTCGCGTGGGCGTATACTTAATATGACGCATACGCCGCTTGTTCGGTGTGTTTGATGTCGTGCGACCGCGTCACATGAAAGCAAACGAATGAAATATAGTTGGTTGCTCAGCGAAATGTTTGAGCTGCTTCGCCAAGAAGCAAGAATTAATTCTGTGACACGAAGGAATCAATTGGATATATCATCTATTTTCAGGTCATGACTAGATTTCGGTATAATATCAGAGAAATGTCAGGATTTCGTGTTACTTAAGATAAATTAGGAGTATAAACAAAATATATAGAGTACGCATTCCCCGATTTGTAGTACTTAAAATTGTTTTCTTTACTTATGTTTTAAACTGGCTTTAATTTTTTTTTTTAACGCTTCTTCTAAGCTTTGACCTTCTGCAGCTAGGCCAAGTGCAAAAGTTTTCTGTGTTTTTATTAATTCCACGAGCATAGGAAAATTTATTGAAAATGCCTGTTGGCAGGACACGTAGCAAAGAAAACTTTTGCCAGCAAACGCATTGCGCTGTGTTTTTTTTATATTTTATTTTGTACGTGATCTCAGTGGAAAAAACAGCGTAATTAAAAACGAGAAGTCGTTGGGCTCTTGATATGTGTTCTGTAATGGGGGAGGCAGTTTTGCTGCGGATAAATTTAGTCAGCGTTTGCCATCTGATATGATAAATCTACTTAATCCAATAAACAAACAGCGGGGGGCGGACCAAAATTGAAGCGTTGCGTTGCGATGCGAGAATGCGAATCGTGCGTGCGCAGCAAGCGAGGGAAAGTGCCAAGTTTTAATTGTGAAAGTTTAGCTGGGGAAAACCTAGGATTGCGGGCGGAAAGCAGAGTGGGGTGGGACAGGCTGCCACATAGACACACACTCCCAGCAGGTGTGGCAAATTGCTGCCCGCACAGGGACATCGAAGCCCGCATGCGACAAGCCATGAATTCAAGTTGTTCTCTACCCAAAGCCGGGAATCTACAGAGAGAAAAATTCGAAGTATGTTCTTCAGGTAAATATGTTAAATAATGTTTTCCTCCTTTAATAAATTTAAATAAAATAATTATGTCTTGATAACAAATTTTCAGGAAGGTGGAAAATAATGTACAGAAAATATGAAATATTTTTCTCTGTGGAAGGACGTTAGTCCTGCCATTCTGCCAGTGCTGTCATTTTGCGTTACTTGTCATCAGCTTCATGCGTTTTGACATTTTTATTAGTTGAATACTCCTTAGCAGCACGCTCCATTGCCTGGGGTCTCTGTCCGGAGTTTTGTGTCCCCTGTCCTGGGCCTCGTCCTCGTCTTCGTCCTTGTCCCCGCCCTGTAACGTCTAATAAGTGCTTACAGCGTCATAAGGCGACGGCAGTGCTTTAAAGGATCCCTTTTGGGCTGGAGGGAGCGATTTCATCTCGAGTGCTTCACAGCGTGTTGTTTTACAAAAAATGCACCCGGGGCCATATCGATTCCCAGTCGATAAATATTGAACAAAATGTAAGCGATTATAAGCCGTAGATCTGTTCGAATGAACTTTTTTCAGGGTAACAAAATAAAATTTTTGTTGAGTATCAGTTCTTCTGACAAAACCGTTGTCAATTTAAAGTTCTTATTTGTCTCATTAAAAATAAATAATAATAAGCCTCCTTAATTAAATAAATAGTGTCTTTTATATTTGATGCTAGACATTTTCCAATATTATATTAATCAGCTTTATGGTCGATAAATAGTCTGCTTCCTTGAAACGGTTTACTCTCCTCCTTTTCAGGAAACTGAAATCTGAATTGAATTTAATCATTTAATTTACTCTTGCACTTTTGCCACATTAAATGCTAAACAAATGCTTGATATGTTTGCTCAAAATTTCATGTCAAACAAATAGCCAATGCTCAGCACTGCCAATCGTGGCTTTAATTTATGCAATTAAACAGTTTAATTAGTCACGCAAAGGCCAATATAACAACAAACAGTGAAAACAACAGATGTTAAATAAATATTCGCTTTAAGTGCAGCTGAGATCCGAGTAAAAAAAGCAGTTTAACAATTTACTGGGCTGTGTTTGTTTGGCGTAAACCAAAAAACCAATTTAAGCGAATGAAATTGGAAAAACAGCAAGAATTCCGGGAATTGCACGAAGCTCAACCCACAATTAAGGATTTAAAATTAACTTTAATTTTAACAATGCAGGCAGTCGTCGGTGGGTACACAAAATAGTTCAGGTAAATCACAAACTTTTGATCTCAAAAGCAAGTTCCGACATTTTCCTTTCAGCGCGGACATTCACAACAATTTTCCCAACTTCAAAGGAGGGACATTAAAAATGTCCTCAGCAGGAGGCGAGTTCGCCTCGCCAATGCTAATAGAGTGTCCGAGGACCCGAGGACCGGGGAAAAATTGCCAGCGATATTTATGACGGAGAAAATACCCAAAGTCATACAACGACCTCAATGTCCATTTGCTAAAGTTGCCATAAAAGAAAGGCCCTTGCCATGCCATTCCCGTTCCCCTTCCCTTTTCCTTATCCCGGGACAGAAAGTTTTAAGCATCTGGCGTAGGTCCAAATGAAGGCAAAAGGCAGCGAGAGCGAAACTTTTAAATGAAATTTTTGTGTTAAAGTTTTGTCAGGTGAGGCCACAGGTAAGCAGCCACGCAATGCGACAACAGCAAGCTGGCTTAGGGTCAGCCGAGCGGCCAAGGAGCCCGAGCCCAGTAAGCACCTGGAAACCACCCACTTCATGAGCTACCGCACCACCGCAGCGGTCCACCGCAGTCGCACACCATCGCCACTCCGAGCGGAGGACACAAAGTTGCAGCTGTATTGTCACGTAAAACGGTGACAGATTCCAAAGACTACGATGGCAGCCAGGCAAATAACATTAAAACAACAAACAACAATGGGCCATTCCGGCAGCGGGAGGCAGTCGGTCTCATCATCATTACACTTGGGGAAAAATGTCATTTAAGAAAGCCATAAGAAAGGGGTAACATTTCAAAACAAACTATGTTTATCACATACATATAACACTTTTAAAGATTTTTCAAGTTAGTAAGTGATAGAGAATCTTTGAATAAATTGCTTATTTTTGAAAATTCTGTAGAGGGACAACCAAACTTGCCCTAAGCTTTTGGGTATGCAGTCACAATCTCGAAACAAAAGCAATTTTCGCAAGTGTCCTTTGTGTCAGGTGGATGTGGAAATGGCAGGATCGCCCTTATCCCTGGACGTGAATGAAAGTTTCGTTCTGTGACTCCTCCGACTTAATGGCAGTGGCCATACGCATACCCACTGGCAAATTCCACCCACTGTGACTTTGTTCCTCTGTCGGCGAAATGAAATTAGCAACACATGCCGACCCAGGACACCCAGGACACCGACCGAAAAAAGAAAAGGCTCCATTCAGTAACAGGAGAGAACAGCGCGCGTTCGTTTGCATTTAAAGTAATTACAAGAATTTTCCATTGCACACATTTCTGTGCGTGTGTGTGAAAGATATTTGCGCTCTTTATGCTCGCTAATGCTCGGTTGGAATTATGACAGCCTCGGCAGCTAAAGCGGCCAAAAGAGCTAATGCGTTTTTAAATATGCTGCAGCGGAAACTCGGTTGGCATTAATTAACAGTGGAGTGCAGGCCACGGAGTTGTTGTGGCGTAGGATTTTGCGGATAGCGAAAAGGGCTTCCTAAATGACTTGCAGACATTGCGGAGGATTGTGCGAAAAAAAAGGCTTGGGAAAAATACGAGTCTGGGAAATTGCTCAATATTTTATGGGGCATTAAAAGGATGCGAATGCCTCTTTAATTCAGCATGAAAAGCCAATAGCACACAAAATTTGCGCAAGTATATTTTGAACACAACTATTTATTGAAAAATAGAAAGGCGTTTTCTTTTTTATTTTTTTAGTTTTTATAGAAAATTCATAAATACACAAAAATAAATAATATTTTCCACAATATAAGTTTTAAATTGCCTTTCATCAAATTGAAAAATTTGATTGAAAAAGTAAATATTTGCACGTTTATTAAAATCAAAAATTCTGTTTTAAAGTGATGACGCAAATAGAAGACAATTTATATTTATCACAGAAATATTACCGATATATCTGGGAAAGTAAGTACTAGGCAGTCTGCAAAAGCCACCAGCCACCCAGTAAGTGTAAAAGACTGTGTGTGAATAGATAAGATGGAATCTTACCTGTTGCTATTTTTCGCAGCTTTCTCAAGGCTGGCCACACGGCGTATGGTTGATATTTGGCTTTCAGTGTACACACACTCACTGGCACTAGCACATACAATTTATTAAGCCGAACACACACACTCGCGACACTTAATTCCTTCTTTAATTTCAATTTCTGGCACGCTTATATGTTTGCTTAGCTATTCCCGGGCACAGAATCCTGGGACGGAGGCCCGAAAAAAATCCTTGGCGGTAATCATGCAATAAGCCGCACTTGTAGCGCACACACACACAAACTGTGGGGTCAGGCTTCTTCTGAGGGAGTCCTTGGAGGTCCTGTCTCGCCTTTGTTGGCCGAAAGGAAACAGCTTGAAATGCTATTAAAATATAATCTTCTGATAATCTGCACTTAATTTCGTGCTCTAGCCCAAAGCAGAAGAAAGACGTTTATATGTCCTGGCCGTCAGCTGGTTCGACCTTGTTGTTCGCCTCTTTTCCTTTTTTCTGGTTTAGTTTTTTTTCCCCAGCGAAATCTTTTAATTTTTTCCACTAAAAATTGTTCTTTCACTTCGTTACTCTGTTGTATTTGTGTTTTTATTTTTAGTGTAGCTATGTATTTTTTCGTCCTCTTTGTTCACGTGGGATTCTGGATTCTTTTTTTCAAGCTTTGTGTAAGTTTTACGCTCCGCTGATTTTTAATGTTTCGCCGTAACCGTGCAACAAACTCGTTCATGTGCGTGCGTGTTGATTTCCTTTGCTGCTACCTTTTGATAGACCCGCACTCTATTTTCCTTCCGCACTCGTCTATTGCCTTCTTTCGAATTTATCAAATTTTCCTCTTTTCTCCCTTGAATTCTTTTCCTGGTGCCTGCCTTTTCTCCTTTTTTTAATCAAATTTCCACTTGATTGGAGTGACGACAATTTAGTTGATTTCCGGTTGATGTTGATGCTTCTGTTGTGGTGTGGAAAAGGCAGGAAGAGAAGAGAAAAGAGAAAGAAGAATTGAATTAGTAAAATATATTTGGTATGTGAGTTTAAAAAAAGTGTTAGTAAAAAGATTCTTAAGTCGGCATAAACAGAAAATATTTGTTATGTAATATTTCTCTTATTTTCTAGAACTTGAGAATATATTATCCATACAATACTTCTAAAATAGTTTGTTGTTCGCCAAACTACAAATCTTCAAAGATTTTTATGAGCACTTTGTAGATTGTGACTAAGAGCATTTTTTATAGTCCAGATCTCTTTTTACTTGATGGCCATTCCATTTCCTTTTTAATTTAATTCCAGGCGCTTTGCGCCTCGCATATTACTTAATTTCCACGCTTCCGCCTTTCAGTTTGAGCTTCTCCCACTCTGCCCGCCATTTCCCTCATGCTTTTCCGCCTTTTCCACTGATCCTCTTAACAGGACATTGCCTGGTGTGTATGGAAACATTCTGACAAAACCAAAATGCAGCACCCACACACCCGCAAAAAATGGGAAAATGTTTTCCATTTTCACTGATTTTATTCCAAGTATTTTCTTCCTGCTGTCGCCTGCATGAAATTATAATTGTGTTCTCATCTCTTACCGCAGACAGTAAAACATTTAATTTCCTCCTCGCGGATGCCGACGTTAGAAAGAGACGGGGCTCCGGGTGAAAGAGGGAGACGGCAGGAGAGGCCTGCTATAATTCCTTCCGGTTATTTTTGCCGCCAAATGGCGCTTCGTGTTTCTAATTCCTCGCAAAACCTATTTACTCTCCCCCTAAAATGGCCTCACACTCCCACGTTGATTTACAAAATAAAAAAAGAAACCATAAAGAAAATTACAGAAAAATTAAATCACTTCGCCCCTTCACATTCCTCACTCTCCACGAATTCTCTTATTTTTTTCGTGTGCTCTTGGCATTTATGCTTCATTTATTTTTGATGGTTTTTTGCCAACGCAAATGTAAATGGTTTATTTGGAAATTGCGCGACGCAAATATATTATATGCACTTGTGTTCCTTTATGGCCTGGAATAACGTAAAATGTAATGGGGATTAAACAGTGAACGTTGTGCTTAAATTCAATATTTGCTTGGAAATTTTCGAGCCAAACAAAGTAATACTGCGCACAAATAAATCAATTTGTGGGCTTTGTTTCAATGAATTTATTGATGAACAATATTTCAGAATCAAAGTCAAACTGCTGGCAATTAGTTGCAGTTAAGTCTCAATCAAATAATAATTTCCCAGTCAAACGGCTTGTGGAAAATCAAACACATACAATTATATATTTAAAGAGCTTACGATTGCTTTATTTATGAGAACTGCTCACTTGCAGAGCTGCACTTTGACTATATATTTTCGCACACACAATCTGCTTACTCATAATCTGGATATACTTGAATCGGCTATTGAGCCTTTTGCTCTGACGGATCTGCTAATGAGGCTCCATATTTCATTAGCCTTTCAGAGCCGGTGACACATTTTCGAGTGCGCTAATTAATTAAATTATATTAAATACCTGAGGGCCGAGTGGGCGTCCATAAAAATACTGATAATAAAAATTAAAATTCATCAACTGTCGTTTTATGATTTCGCGCTTTTAAAGCCGACGCAGCGGAGAGCTGCACAAACACAAAATGTTCATAGTCTGCGGTCTCATTTTCGAACGCATTTTAATGAGGTTTCAACTGGAGAGGGGCTGCTGCTGCTGCACAGACTGTATTAATTAAAAAAGGGTTTCCATGAACTCTGCGCCCGAGCTAAAATGTCAACCAGGCGTTGACCCAGAAAGGCGAAAAAACTGAAACTCTGGCTGGCGTTTAAGGATCGCTTTAAGGTCCTTTTTTTCCTTTGCAGAAAGTGTTACACGTGTCCTTTCCCTGTGTGTGTGCGTGTGTTTGTATGTATATATATGAGCTGATGGCTCCAGGCCTCGAGGAACACAATTTCAATTTGAGCAGTGTGGGCAAAAACGCCCAACGGCCTTTTGCTTTCACTGCCTTGTAAACCACACATAAAAAAACACAAATCAATTTCAGATCCCCTTTGAAAGCTCAATTTCAGAGGTTTCATTTTAAAGTTTCGGAAATATATTTTTAAAATGTAAGTAGATAAAGTTAGCAAAAGCTATTATGAATGCTTCTTATTTCGTGTTGATACTACAAAAATCTAGATATTCAAACTTTTTTGATGCCTCAAAAATGTCATTATATAATTTTAAAATGTCTTTTAAACTTAAAAAAAATAGGTTTCTCTCTCAAGTATTTCAATCTCTCAAAAGTCCACGGTTTTCTCACAGTGCAGTTGCTTTAATTTCCGCTTGAATGCAAAGCAAAGGTTTTTTGGCAGCAACAAAAAAGGTTCGCCCTTCGCATGTTGACTTGTCTTGTGAGTCAGAGCCAGACTTTGGAGGCCATAACAATAACAGAAAACAAAGGGCAGACCGAACCGCCCCAGAAACCCGAGGCGCAATCTTTTGTGGCGTCTTTGCAGGCCAGAGGACCAGAAGAAACCTTTTCAACTTGATTAATTTCCCACAATTTAAGTTGATGAGAGAGACGATGCCCGAGAATTTTCAGAGGCCAGTTCAAATATCCTGCAGGGCGTCTACTGTCTGCTGGCCACTTTGTGATTTCGGGCTTGATGGCTTTGCGAATGTGTTGCGATTAGGTAAACGAACCTGCTGCTTGATTTATCCCTGGAGATTGGGCAAAAAATTAAGTTTCCTTTCTCCGAAAAAGTAAGAAATCCCGATGCACATCAGTTACAGCGCTTAGAAATCGATGCAAATTTTTCAATAAATAGTTTTTCAGGCAAAATCCATCTCGCCGCTCAAACAACATTGCTCAAACGTCAGACTGTCCGGCCATATTCCATAACTAATTCCTATGACTTCCTCAACTTTTGCTGCTCACATTCCCGTTTACAAAATATTTGGAACAAAAAAGTTTCGTCTTCTTCACAAGTTTTCCTGCTGCTGTTGCTGCCTTTCCTCAATGATTTATTGGGCGAAATGGTTTTTGTTTGCCAGTCTGTTTGTTTGTTAGCTGTTTGTGTGCTGTTGTTTTGGGTCTTGCACTGGGCCAAAGGTAAAAGAACTTTGGAGAGTTTGAAATGTTGCCAATATGTTTTTATGGCCTTCGCTCGGCATTTAGAGCAAAAACTATGCCAACTATTCGGTTACTTGAAAATCGAACACAATTTGGTACCGGAGAGAGATACTTCAAAATTTATCAGCAAAATCCTGCAGCAAAGACCGAAAAGTTTTACGGCAAGAATTTGCAACTGTGAGTTGTTGGGAATATTACTTTTTCTTTGCTAAATTTGAATTTTGTTTTGTTTGTTAAAGGTTTTCTTGTAGAACAAAATGTCTGGCTTTCAAATATTAGAATTTTTCCGTAAATATTCTGATAGGTTGTTGTGATTCGGTATTAACAATTTTTAAGTCATCATCCTTTTCTTTTTATTTACTTAGTAATTATATCTTGCTTTTAGGATTAAATTGTAGGATTTAGGATTTGGTAACTTTTAATTTTTTTTTATTTTAGGGTATGTTTGATTTTGATTTTAGGGGGTATATTGTGTGGAAGGATTGATGGCTATTTTTTAGGGGAATCACAATTTAGCTGAGCTTACATTTTTGGCTTGGTTTTTCTTGTTTAATATTTAAGAAGTTTTTAGGATTTTTCCTTCCAGTTTGTGCACTTTCTGTTCGCTCTTGGCCTTGTTTATTCAATCCGCAACCCGTTACTCGCCACGCGTAACCGACTTTTCGTTGTTTACCCAACAACTTTAAGGTCCACCGGTTCGTTTCGGGCCTCCTTTAGTGCCACCGAAAATCGCTCATACGCACTGTTCACCCACTGACACACACAGACAACCGACCGCACGCGTTGCTCGTCTCTGGGATTTTTCGGGGAGCGTAGCAGCATCGGGCCGCCTCAGTGAACGGATGCTGGAGCTTGACTAAAACGCTGTGGTTAACTAGCCAGCCTTTCAACGGTGGCCGGACCTACTACAACATCAGGCCAGAACCGACGAGGCCAGGACGAAAAAAGCGAGGAGCGAACGAAGCTGCCCGGAGTGGCGGCAGAGATCCGAGGATGTTGGCAGCGACTTCTACCTATTACAGCATCCCTGCGAGAGCTTTCGCTAGGCAAGCTTTTGATTTAAGAGCATCTGGTTCTAGGAAGAGAAATTGCCTGAGCTTGCAGTCCACATCCAGAGAGCTGAAAAGGACACTTGCTGGGAGAGAGCTTTTTGAAGCTTTCAAATAGACTTTGTTTATTTTTTTTAGTAGTTTGATTTAAATACTTAAAACGTTACAAGATATTTTTAAGAATTCCGTTTTTTGTATAGTTTTGAATACTTTGTGCAACTTAATTGGAACATCTTTTGGCTACGTAATGATATTTATAACCAATAGTTTAATATTTATGCTGTCTTAAACAAAACAATTTATGAACAGAAAACTGAAATACATTTCAGACGAACCACAATAAAGCCCACTAATTTCGTACGTCACAATAAACCTAATCACAGCTTCCTTGAAAGGCAATCAATGAGCTCGAAACCCGAACCTCGAACTACGGTTTGCTGGTCGAATGAAAAGCTGGCCTAAACGCTCAACGGTGGCCAATCTACAAATTTGTCCACATGGTTGACTGGCAGACAGCGCTAATTAAACCACACGGATGGCAGCCATGGCGGCGAGCAATGGCCAAAAACCAGGACATTAAAACTGATATAAGGCCCTGGAAAATCAGTGGAGCAGGCCAGAACCCACACTAACGCACACACAAACACCCAGGCGTTGTTTCAACTTGCAAGCCATTAACTGCTTTGTTTGCCCGAGGAAATCGGGCTGGGGAAAGTGGCAGGAAAAATTGGGAGGTGGCACCTTGATTGTATAATGGAGGGACGCTGCCTAAATGCAGCCCCCGTGTCCTGTAAGTGACACGTAGAGACAATCGAATTGTGATTTGTCAGCGGGGCGGAAAAGGGGAGAATCTGGGACGCTCCGTGTCCATGGAGCACTCTGTCAAAGTGGCAGGGCCATCCAGTAGCCGGCAGTCAAGCCGTCTGCTGCTCCACTTCCTTCGACTGCTTTTGGCCATTAAGTGGCGCACATGTTTGGCTCACACCACTGCCCTTCAGTTCTCTCCACTCCACTCCACTCCAGTCGATTCGGAGCTGGCCAAAAAGGTGGTAGCCAACGCACAGGTGTCTCCAGACTACACGGCAAGAAATCTTGCGTATGAATTCCTGGAAATTGTTTATACCCCTTGCAGCCACAATTTCTGGGTATATTCGTTTCGTACAAGCGATCACAAAAGTTGAGTTGTTTCATACTTGAAATATAATTTATGCACTTAATTATCGCTATCACTATGAACTTTAAACAAAATGTGTGGGCAAATATATAAACTATAGTATCGAAATGTAGAGAAAAAATTTAAAATCGGAAAATCCATTCAAATTTATGAGCAAAATTTAAAACAGCCGCTAGATGGCGCCAGTAGCTATGACGACTGCGTATCTTCATCTCCCTTGCTCTCAATTTAGCTAAGTAATGGGTGTCTGATAGTCGAGGTACGCGGCTATAGCTTTCTCTCTTGTTTTCTTTAATCTTCTCATCATTTTATGAAGCAAATCTACTGAAAGCCTTGATGAATTAAAAGCGGAGGGCAATAAAACAAGACTGAAGGCGACAGGCTTGTCAAAATAATTATCCAGGCAGTCATATGGAAACCTTGTTCATCCTTAAGGACCACGAAACAGTTTTGCTTCTCGGAGAAGTTTTGTTAGTCACCAAAAGGACACTTACTCTTTCTCCCACTTGCTGTTTGCTTGGGCCAACTTCTTACGGTAGTTGGCCTGTTAATTTTGTATGGTGCCGCCATAAAAGAAAATCTTGGAGATTTGTAAAAAAAAGATACCACGAAAAATAAGAGCGAGCAACAACTGTGACAATCTACATAAAAGAGCGACTCGGAGACTTCCTCAACATTTTCCCGCCCCAGCATCGTCGTCATTGCTTTATTTCTCGCCCTCTGCTCTTGGGTTGAAGAAACTTTTTGTGTGTGCGCCAAATGGAATAAAAGCTGAAAGTAAGGACGAACAAATCTCCACACAGCTGTCCTGGCAACTGACGCACATTTCTCTCTGTCATATATCATAGATTTGTGCGGGGGTTTTCCGAGCAACAGCCCCAGCCCCTCAGTGGTCAGTGCTGTGTCTCCTTTTTCCCAGTTTTTTCTTCATGGGGGAGTTTTTCTTACTGTTGTCTTTTATCCGAGTAATAAACTTAAATTGTTATTTTACCTTGAAAGCGCCACAAAAAGATTTACGGTCGTCTTGGCACCTACTCACAGCCCCTTTACCTTTTTCCTTTGTGGTTCTGTTAGCATTTTTATGCTCATTACTTCGCATTTGAGCTCCCCATTTTACCTCTCTCTTCCCTCGTTTCAGTTTACAACAATCTCCGTCTTTAAGTTGGTTCCTCTCCTCTTTTTTCCAAAAGCTTAATTTGATTTCCATTTGTTTGTTTGTTGTTGTCGCATATTTATTAGGCTTTATATTATGATGTCTAGAAAATGTCCAGACAATTTATGCCTTCCCATAAGCGAGGAAAGGCGAGATAAAAGCCGAGCTGGGAGCTAGGGATTTTCGCTACTTAGGCCGTTGGCTATTGGGTTCTCATTGGGGTAGGCTTGTTCGAAGAATCTTTAAGAGCGTTAAACTCGCCTTGAATTTTTTTTAAGACTTCAATTTACTTTATTATATTTTTATTAAATTTGTATATGCCTAAAATGATTATTTGTAATTTCCTAATATTATTTGGTAATAATTTGCTGCTGGTTAAAGTTATAGATGGATTATTGCCGTGGATGCCGTACGTTCTAAATACTTATAATCAGCTTGCAGTCCTGTAAATTAATTTAAATCTATTTTCCCAATCCCATTTCAGTCGATGCCTCATTATTATCGCATTGCTGGCAACAAAGTTGGTCCCACTTCGCTGCATACTTCTGTGGCCACGGCTGTCAGCGCGGCTTCGTTGCTCGCATTATTAATTAAATGCAAAATGTTTACACTAATAATTTCAGCATGAATTTTCCGCCCTCCCAGAAGGCGAGGGCGAGGGTATCTCCAACGGAAGGAGCCATAAATTTTGCCTTTGGCTGCCGTTGCCATTGCCGCGTGGCAAGATGTGCGTTGCAAGTCGCGTTGCAGCGGCCACAAATTGTGAGTTATCTTGGGGTCCCAGAACGGCATCCTCCTCGGTGGTTAAGGTTGTTCTTGTTGTCGCTGCATGCAAACACATTAAATTAAATTATTGTCACTGGGCGGCTGCATCCTTGCAGCTCCGTTGTCCTTGTCGCTGTCGTTATTGTCCTCGCCTTAGTTCGGCTTGTCGTCTGGCTTGTAGGGCTTTTCCCTGGGAAATAAGCGGGAGCGGGAAATGTGGGTGGTCCTGTGCTAAACTGCAAAACTTCTTTTCGCTTTTCGGCCGCGACGCGTTTCATTAGGCATTTACGCATTAGGCAAAGGACGCGGCTGCGGACAAGGACAAGACGAATTGTTCCCAAGGGAGGTATTACAAGCCATCTTGTTGCAATCCCTTTGTGGGGTAAAAGCTCGTAGCCGGCGATGCAATTTTATTAATAACGAGGAGTAGAAGAACAGTTTTCAATGTTTCTTATTTAAAAATTATTTGAAAATGTAAGGTCATGGAAGCTTATATATTTGGGATGCTATGTTTTGCTACCCCAGCTACTTTTAAAATAATATGAATAAACAAATCAACAAGTTCTTATTTTTTTTTTACATTAAAACATTCATTTTAAGGTGCTAAGTAACAATTTGTTTAACTATAAAAATAAAACGAATTCCACTTAACTTCATACATTTAATACATATTTATAAGATCCTATTTAGTTCTTCCTTAATTATTTTAACAACATTTTAACTTAACGCCTTAAAACTTTTTGTGTGTGCTCATTATCTGTGGCTGCAACGTACAAAAATTTTAATAGCCGCTAAATGGAGTTAACAAAGACACACACTCCGTTTTTCGCAGTACTTTTTATGGACAATGTAATTTGGTTGGCGTTCAGTCGTGCGATTCGCTGACTCTGGTCACTCCTTTACTTGGACTTGCGAAGAGGAAAATTTGTGGCAAGCTCCTGACGGGCCAACGCATTACCAACTTTTACCAGCTTTTCATGCGTTTGAGGGCGCACCATTAGCAACTTGACTTTGGCGACTCAAAAGCATTTTAATGAGCCACCAGTTGAGGCCATAGTTTTTCTTGTTTTACACCGCTCATGCCAAACAGCAATTTCGGTAGGAAAAATGCAAATTTTCTTGAGTGACCGTCGCCAAAGTTGCATATTCATGGTTCAGATATAAAAAGCCCTAATGCATTTGCGTGCAGGAATTCCTTTGCATATTACGAGTTGACCGAGCCAGCGGTAAGGCAGAAATATGTGAAACATAAATTCACTCAACATAGAAATGCACTTTCCAAGGGGTGTGAAGAAAACCCATCAAAGGACTTCCCAGTCTGGACTAACTCTTGTTCAAGCTCGATGGAAACTAAACAAAAGTTGGCCAATTGCTGGGGAACCTTACGAAACAAACCTAAGAAAGTTGAGGGAAAAAATGTAAAAACACTCTCCATAAAACGGAATGAAAATTGTACAACTGCAGACGCAACTAAGAAAACATTGGATGGCAGAGCAGAAGTGGGTTAATTTTCCAAAGGATATAGGATCATATGTGTGTGTATTGGCCCACTCACATAATTGCCAAAGCGTGCAAAGTTTCATTGTTATGAGCTGCCTTCTGCTGGCAAAGTTTCCCTGCGGAGGAAAATGGAAGACCGGGCGACTGAAGGGCGAAAGCTTTTTGCAGTTTAAAGCGCTCTGCTCTGCATCAGCTTCCTTATCCCGGCTAAACACAATACAATCGCAGGAAGTATGCTTTGACCCGGGACAGGACATTCCGGCGCCGGCAGTTTGGCTAAAAAAGGGGCAAAGGAATATGTGAGATATGCCCCGATGGGAGGCCAAGGCAAAAGTTATTAACAGGTTTCTCTGAAAAGAGTGTCCTAAAAGTTTTGCTCAATTTTCAATTCATTTAATTTTCTGAAAGGTAAACGAAATATATGCAATTTTTTATTTAATAAAAAGCCCACTTTTTTATACAGTGCAAATATTATTCCTAAGAATTAGTATATGCTTTATTTAAATTTTTCCTAAGAATTAAAAAATAAAATATTTAACAAAAATGCTATCTTTTTTATGCAGTGCAAATATTTTTCATAAGAATGAATAAAAAATAAAATATTTATATATATTTACTTAGGAAAGGTTTTTGCACTGTAAAAAAAATGGCTTTTTTATTTGTTTTTTTCCTAAGAATTACAGAATAAAATATTTATTAATTCTTAGCAAAAATTTTTGCACCGCATAAAAAATATGGCTTTTTATTTTATTTTTAAATGTATACTATTTTAAAATCTTCAGTTTTCACCAAAAAGTCATTATTTTTCAGCCATCAATGGTGCCTAAGTTTCGATTTTGCCTGTGCCCATTTCGATATTGATGCTTCGTTGCCTTGGGGCATCTTCAAACTAATTAGTAATTTATTTCTAGCATTTGCCGCATATTAAATTTTTGCACAAAACTTAATTCACGTTGGCAGCGGTGGCAGCTGAGGCTCTCGAGTGCTGGAAATGGCCGCCAACATGCAATTAATTGTGTCATTGTAGCCATTAACCAGACAGTTGAGCAGTAACCCAATTTGTTCGCCTGATTGTCGGTGCTGGCGGAGGTTGTGGAAATGGGAGCGTGGTGGCCACTTGACCGCCCCTAATGGCCATGGTCAGGAGGCAATATTGGAGGCGACTGCCAAGGCAACGCGAATGGGTTCCTTGTGTGCCAGTTTGCAATTAAAACGCCCCCTAAAATGAAAGAATATATGTATATGGAAGTGGGAGGAGAAGGGAATGTATGGCCGGGGGCAGGGGGCAGTAGGGTGTTAAGGTTGCTGCCAGCTTTTGCCATATGTCTTGATATGTCAGTTGTCATGCATAATGAACCAGTCCTGTGCTCCTTTCCTTTTCTTATGTGCTCACAACTTGCATTCTTAATGGGATTGCTTGTGAGATAAGAGGCTAAGAAGTCGGGTGGTGGAGAAAGGCACTACGAAACTTTTGTGATAAAATGGAATCGCAAATTGGCTGCTAAAATACATTTTAAGGAGTATTAAGGTGTTCATAAATACAAGGACATTAACACAGTACAAGGATAGTGCAAATATCTAATCAAAATCCCATTTTTTTGCCCTTCAATTTTAAACAAAAAAACTATTTTAGAAACAAAGAAAACATAAATGTAGTTATCATTTTGTTCACATGGCTATGGCACTTTAAACTCGAAGCCTAAACTTCTAATAAGACTTTCTATTAAGGGCTTATTTTTGAATCTGCTTTACCACATTTACTTAAACACAATCTGGTTTTTAATAATCCTTTTACTTATGCCATTGAGTATGAACATAATCCTCTTTCATTGACATTCGACCGCAAAGTGTGTCTATTGTTTGTCGATGATGCAACCGACATAATCCCATTCGATTGCCACATTTGACGCACAAGCAAAGTAATTACATTACCGACACATTGTTCTAGTACTCGAACGCTAATGATGACTAGATTCAATGCGAAATCATTAGGGGGAGAAATTCACCAGAAAGGCAAAAAAAGAGTGAGATTTAATCTGCAAAGTTTCTTTAACTGGTTGCCAATTTCTCTGCTCAAAATGCATGCATAAGCCTTTGGGTTTTTGCATCTTCTGCATGCCATCTCCCACAGAGCCTCAGAGACCTAATCTAACTACATACATATATGTTGTTTTGCTTTCTGTTGTTGTCATCAGTTCTATTCAAGCTCTGCCCCAAAACGGGGTTTTATCTTTACATATTCATATACATACCTACTTATTCCTTGCCCCGCACACAACGCTTTCACCTGGTGGCCTTTGTGCACCAGTAACCTGTATTTAGTTATTATCTAATGTTTTTACATAAAGAAAAAATACAAAGAAATTGGTACAATTGTAAGTATATTTTCAAAAATCCTTAATAAATATATATTTAAACGATCCAGATACCCGTTACCGGTTACTTACTCCTAACTTTTTAATGGATTCTCCGATTTTAAAACTTTTTTATATACGTTTTTATTCTACGATTAACGGATATAAATATTTGTCATAAATACCTATTCCTTTACCATATTACCTATTACTTATTTTTCCCCGTGTACTCGCTTGCCTTGGCTATTGAATTTCATTTGTATGACTTTTCCATTAATATTTTGTCAATCGACGCCTTGGTCTGTTTTTGCTAAGCACATGCTCTGCTGGTTTTTGTTTATTTAGATTTTCAATTTGTTCAAAATACCTACATTTTATCTGTGTTAAAGGCGATTACTTAGCTCTAATCTTTTACTTGTTCCATGGGATGAGTTTCCATATTGGTAGTCAAAAAGATGCAACGATGAAGGTTGTGGGGAAAACTTTAAATACATTTGGCACCCGGGCTTTCCCTTCTCATTAAGCTGGAAAGGGGGGATTTTAGTGCTGAAGGACGATGACAGCTGGCGCCATGGCAAAAAAGGACAGGACATTATCTGCCGGGGATATCTGCTGGAATTGTGACTTCTCTCTTGGGCGGCGGCAACTCCTTCTCGGCCATAATTTGATCGTTAAAATGGCCAGCGCCGCCTTTGCATCGTTTGGCAGCTGCAATTAAATGTCTTTTTTTACGATTGTGCAGCCTTTGCAGTCGGCGTAATGAAATTAACAGCGGCTTTTCTTTTGCATTTCCTCTGGCACTGATAAACGATCGTTGGCCCTCCTCCTCCTCCGGCGATTTCCCCTCGGGCTTTAAAACGCCACTTAAGTGTAAAGTAAAACTGCCCATAAAGCTCGTTAAATGGCCAAGAAATAAGCATACATGTGTGAAAGTTTTTCCTTTTTTCCGTGAATTTTTCCTGGATGGATTCCTTGCATGACAGGACCAAGGGCTGCGATGAAGTCCTTAAGCGGTTCGTGAGTGTGCCCCTGCTTGGGCGTGCCTGCCAACCAAAATTAATATGGATGGAGTGACATTTTAAATGCCCCGAGTGGGGATTAAATTAAATTTTTGCTGACATTTATTAAATTGTAAAATTATTTAACAAAATTAAATATTGCGTTTTGAGTCAGACTATCAGTAGCCTGATATATTTAAAGTGTAAGTACTTCTACAACATCAACATATCGATAATGCTTCTTAACTCATAAATTGGGAAAATTACAGAATAATTTGAATGAAATTCTGGTGCCCAATCTTCAATTTGAGTCGAATTTTGGAGTGGCATCTTTAAAAGGATGCCCGAAACCTTTCTTTTGGTATAATCACTTGGACACATGCCCTTTGATATATATTCCCGCATTGTTGGGGCACTTGACTGGCCACAGGTGGCGCTTTAATTTGCACCTTTCAGCGACGCCGGGGAGCGTTGTCATCGCTGCTGGCCTCGCCCAAAAGTCACACAGGAAAGCAGCTCGAAGGCTAAGTGAGCCACTGTGTCAGTGGGATCCCCAGGAGAACGTCGGGCACACGAGGGTTAAGGGACGGGGTGGTTCAGGAAGACTCTGGGACGCCGGGGAGTAATTAACACTGCGACGCTGGCTGCCACTGAGTAAACAATGGCGAACGGGAGCCGCAGTTGTTAATTACGCCAACAATGCGCTGCAGCGAAAAGCGAACAAAAAAGGGGCGTGGCAAAAGGTAAGGCCAAGCCCAAGAAGCGGAAAAAAAATTAAGCACAGGAAGTGCAAACTGCCGTTAGAAGGAAGCAGACGCGAGGGCGTCTAAATGAGGAAGAGACCTCTTAGTAAGCTTAAGTATCTTTAACTTACACATTTCTTGGAACTTTACATTTCTGTTAAGTTTTTGAGCCCAGTAAAAATGTTAATTGTATAGTATTTCAAAACAGTAAGGAAACCATTTATTTACAAGCCTATAACCTTCACTGTTATATTTCAAGAAGTCACATTTTAAAGATCACTTAATTTTCTTATGATTTTCCAGAATCAAATGACAAACAATATTTTTTTATCCAAAAAGTTTTAAAAGTTTTTCCAAAACTTGTAGAATGTCCCGGTCGTATGGAAAATACTTCTCACCATCAAAACCTGCAGAATGCCAACAAATATCATGGACAAAAACTGAGTCCAGGACCAATTGTTAACCATGGCGAAAGTGGACTCGGCTACATTGCGATCCCTGGCCTCGATCGCTCGAATAAAGTCCTGAGTTTGTCGGGATCTCATAAGATTCACATGAATCTTGCCCATGTAATTATCTATATCGGTGTAAGCCATTTCGAATTGGTAATCGGTTAACATTTCCCGGCGTAGATCTCGAAGCTCTCGCTCCTTTCGGTCCGCAGGACTCACTTCCAGGGTGAAAGATACGATCTTTTGGTTGAAAGTGCTAATGGTATTATCGAAACAGATCTTATAAGACCCAGTTTCATGAGCCACCAGCTTTTGTCTTCCCTTTTGCTGCTTTATTTCATTGATCAGAAGGAGGCGACTGGGATCCATCAAATTAAAATTGATATGCGTCTCGCCGAGACCTCCGTGGATCACCTGATAGTCGATTTTAATGTTCTCAGTAGTGGCAATTGGGTGATAAAAGCACTCCTGTCGGCCAGCCTCGACAAATATGGTCAGTTGTTTGTTATAGGGCTCGGCATTGGAAATGCACAGATCCTTCAGCAGCAGCAGCGAAATGTAACAAGCGATTTGGAACATTTTTCGGTGGTTTTCTAGCTTTTGAACTCGAATTGTTTGACTGGTTGGTTGGTGACCGTTTGTCGGTTTTACAGACTGGTTGGACTTATGGAAGTGAGGGGAAAAGCCTGCTCACGGAAAGGCCAAATTAGGAGTAAAATTACACTGAAAAACAAAAACAGCATTTGACGAAGTATCAAAATTTTAAACATCCAATTTAAACTCTTTCTAAAAATGTTTCTATCGTTAAATATCCGGCGCACATTTTTCGTAAAAAATGTTAAAAATTATAAAAATGCAGTAAAAAGACAGCTATCAATTATCCAGATATGCGATGTCTAAAATGTTGTAGTATTTAATAAAACATATAAATAGGTACAGCATTTTCACTGTGACTTAACAGTTGATTTTCGTAAAAATCCTTTTTTATTGCAGTATATGCCGTTTACAGGAACATAGTGTTCGCGAATAGTGCTAAATACAGCTTTTAATAGCCAGCAGAAATTGCTGCGGCATTGCAAAAAGCGCCCCGCCTCCTTCGCAAACCCATACCGCCCTCATTCCACCATACCATTCGACTGGCAAAACTAAAAGCAACAGCATCAAAAGGAATATGAATTGAGGTCGATGTGTAAATATTTGTCAACGGTAATGGAAATTTATGCTACCGTTGCTGCTGATGCTGCCAATGGTGGGCGGCAGCCGGTGGATGTGGCGGTGGGCGTGGCCCTGGAAAGGGCGAAATGGCGAGTCGAGCGCTTTCATTTTTTTAAAAACTGTCGGCGACGCAGCATGAGACAAAAAGGAGAGCAAAGAAAATGTTACAGGGTTTTGAAGGAAATTGTATACCCTTTAAAATGTATGGCTATTAAAATATACAAAATGGGAAAAATACATAAAAGAAAGAAAGGGGGAAAAAAAAGCAAATGACCAAAAACTAAATATTAAAACAGGTTAGATTTATTAGACAAGATTTGATTTATTTTTATTGATGTAAAAGAGGGTTGATGTTAGCTTTTTCGTATCTAATGTTTTTCTTATTAAAAGTCAAATTTTTTGTGCCAGCTTAAGAAGCCACATTTTTTGTTAGAGTATCAATGTTGCACCTCCTGGAGTTTAGTAAAAGCAAAAAAAGGATAATAAAAAGGAGTGAAACCAACAAATGCTTGCGTTTGGGCAAAGAAACTTTACAAATAGACACATACACCCACACATAGACACATACACCCACAAACTCATGTATGCAAGTTTGTATGAAAGTTTGTTTGCATAGACTTCTAACTTCCTAATTTTTTCCGCGCACTCTAAGCTCTGATTTTTTTCTTATATAAATTTTGTTGTATTTTTTTTCTTTTTTTACTTCTTAATTTTTGTACACGCAAATACCAGTATAATTTTATTCAGTTTTAAAAATTACATTTACGATAAGTATCTAGAAACCTCTTTCTTCTGCAGACAGTTGGAAACCTTTTTTAAATTTTTTACACATTTCTTTAGAACAATAAAAGTTTTGGCTTATATCCCTTTTTAAATTATACAGGAATCACCATTTTTGGACTCGAAACTGCATTGTAATCAACAGAGTTTTGTGTGCATTAAATATTAAAGTGTCATTCGGCACTTCACTTCGGTTATTTACGTACTTTCAAAATGTGCGATGAACACCAAGAAGTCTCCAAGCCCACACTCTTCCTAGTCTAACCCGCCTGTAATATTTATACCCGTTACTCGTAGAGTAAAAGGGTATATTGTATTCGTGCAAAAGTATGTAACAGGTAGAAGGAAGCGTTTCCGACCCCATAAAGTATATATATTCTTGATCAGGATCACTAGCCGAGTCGATCTAGCCATGTCCGTCTGTCCGTCTGTCCGTCTGTCTGTCTGTCTGTCTGTCTGTCCGTCTGTCCGTATGAACGCTGAGATCTCGGAAACTATAGAAGCTAGAAGATTGGCATTTTGCATGCAGATTCTAGGAATTCCTACGCAGCGCAAGTTTGTTTCAAAATGGTGCCACGCCCCCTCTAACGCCCACCATCGCTTATATACGATTTTAAAAATTTTAATATTTTGGAAAAGTAAAAATGCAGTTTTATTGTGTTTATCAATACCTATCGAAATGTAGAAGAAATTTTTCAAATCGGACCATTCGTTAAAAAGTTATGCGTGATCAACGTTTTCTATCTCTATCTCCATCTCCCTCGCACTCCCTTTACCTGAGTAACGGGTATCTGATAGTCGGGGCATCCGACTATAACGTTCCCTCTTGTTTTTTTTAGGGAGAGCAAAAAATTGCATTCGCGACGTCGTTGAAATGCCAGAGGCTGGAATACACAGTCGAAGCATGAAAGCTGCAAATAGGACGCATAAAAAATGTTACCTGGGGTCGTCTGCAGGTGATGGCAGTTAGAAAAAGGCGGTGTGAGAAAATAGGAAGCGAACTACAGTGAACAAGTTTTTTGTTAACTGTAATTGGAAAATAAAAATATTGAACCTGGAACCGCCTGTAACACTAGTTTGCAGCCGAAATGCATTCCAGCAATTGAAGGTAAATTCTGTTAGTGTTGGACCCCTAGATCACGAAAATACCACTAATTTGTTTTTCGATGGCACATTTTTTTTTAGAGATTTTTTAAAGTTTGAAATGTTAAATTTCGGAATTTTTTCGATTTTCTTCTTATATCTCGGCAGATATCCACCCGATTAGGCTAGTTTTCGTTTTATTTTCCATACAGATCAATATGATTGGATAAGTAATGGCAGCGCAGCAGCTCGATAAAGATGAAAAATATGTTTCTTGGTCGACTGTAAGTCGGCTGTATATATCGTAAAAACTCGAAATAAATCCGTTAAAAAATTATAATGGGTACAAACTTAAAGATTACTTCCCACCGAAGAAAACAAGCCGGAAATGCCCCAAATCCATGGAAAATTGGATTCATGGTGGATTTTTAAAGTTCGGATTTTTCAACTTTTTTTGGTTGACAGAGTCCAAATTTAAGACTTATTATAGGCGGCGACACGTAAACAAAAATAAGAGGTGACGGCAGTCGGGTCAAAACATAGCTAAATCAGATATTTAAAAGCTAAAACATCAAAAAAGTGAACTTAATTTTTGAAATTAAGGTTACCTTTTTTATAAGAATGAATTATCCAAATGGATATTACATATTTAAAATACTCACAGCCATAACGATAGCAATTTTATATTTGTTAACTTTAAAGGCTAGAAAATTATAAAATAAATGTAATTTCTAAAAATTCCTTCAAAAATATAAAACTGTGCCATCGAAAAAAAATTAGTGGTATATTCGTGATCTAGGGGTCCAACACTCACAGAATTTGCCATCAATTGCTGGGTAGCACACTAAGAACATAATTTTGTAAACTAGTGTAATTAACGATTTGGTGTAATTTTAAAAATACATATGGGCACTTCCACCAAAAAGTCCACCAAGCCAAAAACCTTTAAACGTGAATAAAACATATTTCCACATGATTTTGACCCGATATTAGTTTCTAAATAGTTTGATCCTGAGCTTAACTACCAATTTGGAGTATAGTTTGATTATTTTTATGACAAACCACACCAATATACGCAAAAATTAGTTTTTGGGTATTTTTTGTTATTTTTTGGATCTGTCTTCAGTTGTTAATATATCCTTCAGGAATGCTAATATGTGAAATTTTTTGTACTGATAGCAAAGCAGCCAGTAATTGAGGCATAGAGGTAAAGAAATACATTTTACAAAAAAATAGAGCTTGGGAAGAGTGAAAAGAAAAGTCCATTATTAAAATTAGAATCCTTTTTTTCCCAATTTTTTTTCAACTTTAAAGGTGTGCAAATGTCCCGAGCGACAATATGGAAGGTCCCATATGTTTATTAAAACAAGCGGGAACGCTATAGTCGACTATCAGATACCCGTTACTCAGGTGAAGGGAGTGCGAGGGAGATGTGCAATATCATGTTTTGCTCATAAATTTTTAATAAAGTTGTCCGGTTCTTCTACATTTTGATAGGTATTTTTAAACACAACAAAATTACTCTACCTTTCCTGAATCTTTAAAGATGTGAGCGCCAGACACACAAGAATATCTTTGGGTAACACCAACTTTCTAGCTTTTATAGTTTTCGAGATCTCAGCGTTCATACAGACGGACAGACGTACATGGCTGATCGACTCGGATAGTGAGAATATATTTAATTTATAAGGTCAGAAATACTTCCTTCTACCTGTTACATACTTTGGCACGAATACAACATACCCTTTTACTCTACAAGTAACGGGTATAAAAACTTCTGATATAAAACTAAAACACCTTTTAATTAATTAATTAATATACTTTTAATAATTTATTATTTGTTTTCGCATACTCCATTTCTGACACTGTAGATTCTGCAGGGAGTCTTACAGCGTGAAATGTAGAAGGCGTTGGCAGCTGCAAAGTAGCCGACACCGGAGTCTGAATCATTGGAGCGCACCTGTGTGCGTTCGCTTGTGTATGTGGTGGAATGTGTTTCAGTGTGTGTGTGCGTGTTGCTTTAGTTGATTGTTTGCTGGGGGCGCGCCAGGTGTGGGGGCGTGGCAGCGGGTGTGGCAAGTGGCTGAAGATCAAAACCCAAGCTGTCGAGGAAGCCAATTTAATTTGATGAAATTAAGATGGCGATAAAAAGATGAGCGCAACGGAAGAAAAAAATCGAAGGTTTTGAAATCTCAGGTGAAGGTGTCTTTAATATTAAATGCACTTTCAAGCTATACTTATGAAGTATTTTACTTTTATTTGGCCAATATATTGTAAATTTTAAAGTTTTTTATCCAATTTATGCTATTTTGAAGTTTTTTAGATTGCATTGTTCATTATTTATTCTTGCCACAGAAACAATTATTTTTCAACAAATCGGCTGACGAATTCATTAACATTAGATGACAAAATAACTCATATTTTGAATTAGATTTTATCGCCCTCATTCTTAATTACAACAAAGCCAGTCCCTTCCACCAGCAACAGTCCAACATTTTTGTCCACCACATCAAATCAGAGTAAACCCTTGACAAATGCCACACCTACACAGAATTATGGGCTCGACTCTCTGTCTGTCTGGCCA